ACCGTTGTTAACATTACTGTTTTAGGCCTAGGTTTAGACAATTTTTATCTAACTGTAAACTGTATCGATGTTATTTCTACTGAGTTAAATTATACAAACACTACCGTTGTTAACATTACTGTTTTAGGCCTAGGTTTAGATAGTTTTTATCTAAATGTAAACTGTATCTATGTTCTTTCTACTGAGTTAAATCATACAGACAATAACGTTGTTAACATTACTGTTTTAGGCCTAGGTTTAGACAGTTTTTATTTAACTGTAAACTGTATCCATGTTCTTTCTACTGAATTAAATCATACGAATACTACCGTTGTTAACATTACTGTTTTAGGCCTAGGTTTAGACATTTTTTATCTAACTGTGAACTGTATCGATGTTCTTTCTACTGAGTTACATGATACCAAACACTACCGTTGTTAACATTACTGTTTTAGGGCTAGGTTTAAACAGTTTTTATCTAACTGTAAACTGTATCTATGTTCTTTCTACTGAGTTAAATCATACAGACAATAACGTTGTTAACATTACTGTTTTACGCCTAGGTATTTTTATCTAACTGTAAACTGTATCTATGTTTTTTCTACTGAGTTAAATCATACAAACACTACCGTTGTTAACATTACTATTTTACGCCTAGGTATTTTTATCCAACTGTGAACTGTATCGATGTTCTTTCTACTGAGTTAAATCATACAGACAATGACGTTGTTAACATTACTGTTTTAGGCCTAGGTTTAGACAGTTTTTATCTAACTGTAAACTGTATCTATGTTCTTTCTACTGAGTAAAATGATACGAATACTACCGTTGTTAACATTACTGTTTTAGGCCTAGGTTTAGACATTTTTTATCTAACTGTGAACTGTATCGATGTTCTTTCTACTGAGTTACATGATACAAACACTACCGTTGTTAACATTACTGTTTTAGGCCTACGTTTAGACAGTTTTTATCTAACTGTAAACTGTATCTATGTTCTTTCTACTTAGTTAAATCGTACAAACAATAACATTGTTAACATTACTATTTCAAGCCTAGGTTTAGACAGTGTTTGTCTGACTGTAAACTGTATCGTGTTTTCGAAACAAGTTCTAGTAGCAGTCTTATTATTAGTTGTTATATATCTCAAGGTTTTTCTTTCTGACCAATGTTTGCTTTTTTTCATTTTTATGTATTTATTAAGAAAACACACTATATTTCTCTAGTATATATTGACCAAAGGTATAGTGAAGTGTTTTTCATTAGTCTTCCTTTATTTTTCCTGGTATTGTTGCACTGCAATTATTATGACATTTTCCATTTTTCCTGGTACTTTTTTCACCTCGAGCATTATGGTGTTTCTTTCTTAAGTTCAGTTGTTGTTTTTTAGTTCCTTCGGAAAAATTAAATACATCCACTTTTTTCTCTAGAGCCGAAACTATCATCAGGTTAACCAGATCAGTGACCGACTGAAAAACATCACTGACATCTACCAATCAGTTGATGACGAGAAAATAATGCGTGTATCAGATTTTGATTTCCTAATGGTTCTTGGAAAGGGGAGTTTTGGAAAGGTGAGACGGTATTGTTTTATCTCAATTAAAAAAGTAGTCTTAAGAGAAAAATTATAAAACTAACGTAATTAGGTCTAGGAACTGTATTGTCAGTTTGTGAGTTCTATGTTAAATATTATTATACCAGTAACAATGTACTAAGTGAAAACATGGCTTCCAGCAAGAATGTACGCACATTTTAGGAAGATACATTTTACCAAAACCTAGTCCAAAGTAGGAGACCCAAATAAGTTGCATGTTCTTCCACAATAGGGATAACTATAGTGAAACAGTTTATAACTAGAGTGAAAGTATTTACTAACAGGAGTGAAACTTTTACTAACTGGAGTAAATCTATTTACTAACTGGAGTTAAACTGTTTATAACTAGAGTGAAAGTATTTACTAACAGGAGTGAAACTTTTACTAACTGGAGTAAAACTATTTACTAACTGGAGTTAAACTGTTTACTAACTGTAGTAAAAATATTTACTAACTGGAGTAAAACTGTTTACTAACTGTAGTGAAACTGGTTAATAACTGGAGAGAAACAGTTTACTAACTGTGGTGAAACAGTTTACTAACTGGAGAGAAACAGTTTATTAACTGTAGTGAAACTGTTTACTAACTGGAAAGAAACAGTTTACTAACAGGAGTGAAACTGTTTACTAACTTTAGTGAAACTGTTTACTAAACAGGAGTGAAACTGTTTATTAACTGCAGAGAAACAGTTTACTAACAGGAGTGAAACAGTTTACTTACTGCAGAGAAACAGTTTACTAACAGGAGTGAAACAGTTTACCAAATTTGTGTTTTTGAATGTTTAGGTGATGTTAGCTGAAAATAAGAGGTCCCCTGGTGAACTGTATGGAATAAAAATTTTGAAGAAGGATGTCATTATCCAAGATGATGATATCGAGTGTACCATGGTCGAGAAGCGAGCGTTGGCTATTTGTGATAAGCCATCATTCTTAGTTCAGCTTCACTCCTGCTTCCAAACTGAGGTAAGTAACCAGCTTGGTCCACTTCCAGTCCAGTTTTCAGGATAACATGAAAAAAAAACAACTAAGATTGATGACAGTTTTCATTCAGTTCCATACCGACTATAAACTAAGATTGATGACAGTTCTCCTTCAGTTCCATTCTGACTCTAAGCTAAGATTGAAGACAGTTTTCCTTCAGTTCCATACCGACTATAAACTAAAATTGATGACAGTTCTCCTTCAGTTCCATTCTGACTCTAAACTAGGATTGACGACAGTTTTCCTTCAGTTCCATACCGACTATAAACTAAAATTGATGACAGTTCTCCTTCAGTTCCATTCTGACTCTAAGCTAAGATTGACGACAGTTTTCCTTCAGTTCCATACCGATTATAAACTAAGATTGGTGACAGTTTTCCTTCAGTTACATACCGACTATAAAAACCGAGTTTTAAAACCCGTGTTAGGCACAGGAAAGATAGCATATTTTTCCGAATTGTGCAACGAAAAACACGTGATACTTTATTCCTTTGTTGCTATATAATTTTTACCGATTTGTAAAGACAAAAATCTTAAAATTTAATTGTTATATTTACATTACATGTAATATGTCACAATGAAATATTTGTTGTTGAAATTGGTATCTGGATATATATATATATATATATAAATCAATACTTACTCCTAGGATCGGCTGTATTTTGTAATGGAATATGTGAGTGGGGGAGACCTCATGTTTCAGATCCAACAGACCGGAAAATTCAAAGAGCCTGTGGCCGTGTAAGTAACTATTTAATTTTCTTGTAACTTGCGTTTCCATCCTATATCCGTGCAAGTATCTTCTATTTTTGTCGTAAGGGTCGTTTGCATATTCTAAGAAAAATTTCTTTCCTTGTAATTATTATATCATCATCTTTTCTAATTTTGTGTCCCTTAGTGGGATAGCGGTAAGTCTGAAAGTTTATAACGCTAAAAACCAGGTTTCGATACCCGTGGTAGGCACAGCACAGATCGCACATTTTATAGCTTTGTAGCTTTTTGCTGAACTACAAACAAATAAGGCCCAGTATGGCCAGGTGGTTAGGGTGCTCGACTCGCAATCTCGTCCCACCAAACATGCTCGCCCTTACCAGCCGTGGGGGCGATATAATGTGACGGTCAATCCTACTATTCGTTGGTAAAAGTGTAGCCCAAGAGTTGCCAGTGGGTGGTGATGACTAGCTGCCTTCCCTCTAGTCTTACACTGCTAAATAAGGGACGGTTAGCGCAGATAGCCCTCGTGTAGCTTTGCGCAAAATTCAAAACAAACAAACAAACAAATAAATGCTAACTTTGTTGTATTGTGTGCTGGAATAATTTTAGTGTGAGTCAGAAAAATAATTCTCTTTAATGACAAAACTTACTTTCATTAAGATTTCTTGTCGTCTGTGTCATGATGTTTCTCTATAATGACAAAACTTGCTTTCATTAAGATTTCTTGACGTCTATGTCATGCTGTTTCTCTATAATGACAAAACTTACTTTCATTAAGGTTTCTTGTCGTCTATGTCATGCTGTTTCTCTGTAATGACAAAACTTACTTTCATTAACATTTCTTGACGTCTATGTCATGCTGTTTCTCTGTAATGACAAAACTTACTTTCATTAACATTTCTTGACGTCTATCTCATGCTGTTTCTCTGTAATGACAAAACTTGCTTTCATTAAGATTTCTTGACGTCTATGTCATGCTGTTTCTCTATAATGACAAAACTTACTTTCATTAAGATTTCTTGACGTCTATGTCATGCTGTTTCTCTGTTATGTATTTACACTACACTATAATTGTTATGTATTTACACTACACTATAATTGTTATGTGTTTACACTACACAATAATTGCTATGCATTTACACTACACTATGATTGTTATGTATTTACACTACACAATAATTGTTATGTGTTTACACTACACAATAATTGCTATGCATTTACACTACACTATGATTGTTATGTATTTACACTACACTATAATTGTTATGTATTTACACTACACAATAATTGTTATGTGTTTACACTACACAATAATTGCTATGCATTTACACTACACTATGATTGTTATGTATTTACACTACACTATAATTGTTATGTATTTACATTACACTATAATTTTTATGTATCTACGCTACACCATTATTTTTATTTTATACCAGTTTTTACGCAGCGGAAATTGCTATCGGGTTGTTCTTCCTTCACAGTCAAGGGATAATTTACAGGTTAGTTTCTCGTGGTTTTGTTTTTTAATTATAAAAAAAATCCATAATTAGTTATTTTTAGAAGTGAAACTTTTGTTATCTTTATGCAACTAGACAGTATCTTGGAGAGGATATGTTACCCTAAATGTTAACTAAAACTATATATCTTGGAGAGGATATGTTACCCTAAAGGTTAACTAAAACTGTATATCTTGGAGAGGATATGTTACCCTAAAGGTTAACTAAAACTGTATATCTTGGAGAGTATATGTTACCCTAACTGTTTACTAAAGCTGTATGTCTTGGGGAGTATATGTTACCTTAACGGTTTACTACAGCTGTATATCTTGGAGAGGATATGTTACCCTAACGGTTTATTAAACCTGTATATCTTGGAGAGTATATGTTGCCCTAACATGTGAAGACCCCAGAGAACCTGGTGGATAAAATATTAAATTAGGGTTATCGTCACGCGCTTGTTGATATTTTCAATACCTGCATAGGATGTATTTCTATTTCATTACAGAGACCTCAAGCTTGACAATGTACTTTTAGATGAAAACGGTCACATCAAAATAGCGGATTTTGGAATGTGTAAAGAGGGAATTTTAAACAATCAAACTACGAGAACGTTTTGTGGAACTCCTGATTATATAGCACCAGAGGTAATATCTGTCATTTCTTTTAACTCCTGATTATATAGCTACAGAGGTAATGTCTGTCACTTCTTTTAACTCCTTATTATATAGCTCCAGAGGTAATGTCTGTCACTTCTTTTAACTCCTTATTATATAGCTCCAGAGGTAATGTCTGTCATTTCTTTTAACTCCTGATTATATAGCTCCAGAGGTAATGTCTGTCATTTCTTTTAACTCCTGATTATATAGCTACAGAGGTAATGTCTGTCATTTCTTTTAACTCCCGATTATATAGCTACAGAGATAATGTCTGTCATTTCTTTTAGTGTTCTTCAAACATACACATTCCATGTGTGATAACACAGGTCTGCGAATTTGGTCTTCATAAAAGTTGTTTTGGTTTTAATAACAGAATTTCCATAATTCAGCTACGCAGATTTCGAAAATAATGTTCATTTTTTTTCTATCACGTAAGGATTTTTTACAAACCGGGGAAAAAAACTCTTGCTTAGATCATATTATTATTTCGTTTACCACAATGAAATTTTTTTATTATTATATTTGTTTGTTTGGAATTAAGCTCAAAGCTACACAATGGGCTATCTATGCTCTGCCCACCACAAGTATCGCAACCCGGTTTCTAGTGTTGTAAGTCTGCAGACATACCGCTGTGTCACTGAGGTGCATTTTATTTGTTAACAAAAATACAAACAAGCTGAAGAAAAGGGAAGAACACTGATGTCAAACGAATATGTATCCTCATTCATCCTGATTTTTCTTTTTTTTTGGGGGGGGGTGAAATCTACATCTTTTAGTCTCAAAACTACGTGTTGTGGTCTTTCTTTTATGTATGACGTCTGGAGCATTTCGTTTCAATGACCAACAGTAATCAGCCATCATACTGATGTTTCACCTTCCCTGATACCTCCTCTCCATTTTCTTGATGTCTTGATGAAACCTTTTCCCATAGTTCTTCGCTGACGGCACCAATATTTTCAGGGAAACAGTCAATATGTGAGTGTAAGAAATGAACTTTCAAGTTCATATTACAACCCAACTCTCTGAATTTATCGAGCATGTTATTGACAATATTTTTGTAATTTGGGTCCTTGTTGTTTCCTAAAAACTTGTCAATAACATCTTTAAAGACAATCCATGCCTCTTTTTCAACTTTCCTCATTGTCGTTTCGAACTGTTCATCCGAAGTCAATTTCTTAATCTGATGCCCAACAAAAATCCCTTCTTTAAGTTTTGCTTCTGAAAGAGCTGGGAATTGCCAACATAGATACTTGAAACAGTTGCTAGCTTTGTCTAAGGCCTTTACAAACTGCTTCATCAAGCCCAATTTTATGTAAAGTGGAGGTAATAGTTTTTTTTTTGTGTCACGTTCAATGTTTTTCGATCTTGGTGTCAGGCTGACTCTGCGTGGCCATTGCTTCCTTATCCAGTGCAAAACACATGGACACTTTGTATAACCAGATTTTTGACCCAACAACATACAAAGGACTTTTAAGTCTCCACAATGTAGCCAACCATATTCTTTGTATTTGACCTTATTAAGAAACATTTCGAGATTTTCATACGTTTCCTTCAAGTGAACCAAATGAGCAATAAGAACAGATGAATATATGTTACCATTGTGAAGGAGAACACCTTTTAGACTTCTTTTGGAGGAATCAATGAACAGTTACCACTTTCTTGGTTCATAGACTGCAGCTCCTAGCATTCAGCAATATTGTTGCAATAAACCAGTGAACCTTCTTGTGGAAAGTATGGTATAAACCCTTTCTTACAATCTCTGTACCAGTAAAATGATGTCCCTGGAGAAAGTAAGTTCTTAGCCCGAAGTCTGGACCTAAAAATATCTGAAGAATCCTTTGGAAGGCCCAAATCTCTCACCAAATCATTAAGTTCACCTTGTGTGAAAAGTTGTGGTTCACCAGATATTTCAGGTTGAAAACAATCCCTATCATCATTCCTGTTGACACCAGATTCAGAATCAGATGAAACTGTATCATGAGTCTGGTGGAGTAGGTACAGGTACATCAGGTCCATGAGCAACAGGTCTTATTAGCAGATTGAAGGTTTGGATAAGAAAGTTCCTTTTTATTCAAGTGTTGTAGCCTTGCACGTTACATGAGCAAAAATAGTAGTCATTTCCGTGGTTTCTAGACTCAGGCCAGACCATTGCAATTCCAAAAGACAAAGACATTTTCTTACCTTTAGTCCATTGTCTCAACTTTTCGACACAAACGGTGCAAACTTTGTGCGGAGCCAATGATTTCTCTTGGTCCCCAAGATTTATTCCAAAACACGCGTAATACGCTTTTCTGACGAATTCTGTAATGTTTTGCCTTTGTTTCTTTACAACAAATCTACCACAAATATAACAGAATATATTTGGATCATTTACATAACTTCTTGTTGCCATAGCGACGAATAAATAATATTGAAAATAAAAAATAATAATATTAAAGTGGACACACAAACAAATACTATCCAGAAATGACACGTGATGCGGCCTGTTAACCGTTTATATACTAGCGGTGTGTTTCTTGTAGGTTCTAGAACGATCGATAAGACTCTCACGTCACGATTGGTCTAGAGAAATCTATAGCCGGCGGTTGTCAACATTTTAAGCATAACAAAATGTGACCCGATTTCAATGGAAATGATTCACTTATGTAAAAGTACATATGACGTTTTGTGAAAAATGTGTACGTGATGGAGAAAAATGGATATAATTTTCAGATTCAGCTTATGGAAGTTAATGTAGAACATGTAAAAATATCAAGACAATATAACCATCGCAGACCTGTGTAATTAGTTTCTGGTGTTAAACTGTGTTATTGCTATCTTTTATTGTTCCTCAGACATTCACATTCCAAATGTTATAATTAGTTTTTGGTGTTAAAATGTGTTAGTGTTATCTTTTAGTATTCTTCAGACATTTACATTAATTGTGTTATAATTAGTTTCTGGTGTTAAACTGTGTTATTGCTATCTTTTAGTATTCTTCAGACATTCACATTCCATGTGTTATAATTAGCTTCTGGTGTTAAACTGTGTTATTGCTATCTTTTAGTAGTCTTCAGACATTCACATTCTATACTTTGAGTCTGGTGTTAAAATGTGTTAACGTAGTTACATATTAATGTTCCAAATATATTACATTTTAAGTATATTCAGTGACATAACAACTGGCTTTCATTACTATTAGTTTCCATCATGTGTGCCAATATCAAAACTATCTATCTGTCTTGATCACAAAGTAACGAATCAAAATTTTCACGATGATTTCGAAGAATTCACTTGTTTTTGTTACAAATAACAAAATGTAAGTTTGAAACTTAATCTGACATTTATCTGTGACTCTTCATTTACATTATCGAGTTTTTAAGTTATGTATTACATATTTGTTTTAATGGCCGTATTGTTTATTGTATACTTAAGCTTACGGTTTGTCCCTCAGGAACAGAGCTGTAAGTTTACGGGTCTATTTGTCCCTTAGGTACAAAGCTGTAAGTTTACGGGTCTGTTTGTTCCTTAGAAACAAAGCTGTAAGCTTACGGGTCTATTTGTACTTTAAGAACACAGCTGCGAGTTTACGGGTCTGTTTGTACTTTAAGAACAAAGCTGTGAGTTTACGGGTCTGTTTGTACTTTAGGAAAAGAGCTGCGAGTTTACGGGTCTGTTTGTACTTTAAGAACAAAGCTGCGAGTTTACGGGTCTGTTTGTACTTTAAGAACAAAGCTGTGAGTTTACGGGTCTGTTTGTACTTTAAGAACAAAGCTGCGAGTTTACGGGTCTGTTTGACCTTTAAGAACAAAGCTGCGAGTTTACGGGTCTGTTTGTACTTTAAGAACAAAGCTGTGAGTTTACGGGTCTGTTTGTACTTTAAGAACAAAGCTGCGAGTTTACGGGTCTGTTTGACCTTTAAGAACAAAGCTGTGAGTTTACGGGTCTGTTTGACCTTTAAGAACAAAGCTGTGAGTTTACGGGTCTGTTTGACCTTTAAGAACAAAGCTGTAAGTTTATACGTCCGTTTGTCAGTCAAAAACAAAGCTCCATGTGTACGTGTATTCTTATTATTTATTCTGGTAACAATTTTTCAAGAATCAATATATAGAAGTTATATTCACCTCCTAAATGATTTTTCTTTAAATCTATCGTATTATTTGCTATAGATAATACATAAATCTTAACTGAGTTTTCGTTCATTATAGATAATTCTGTACGAGCCGTATAATACGTCAGTCGACTGGTGGGCCTATGGAGTTCTTTTATACGAAATGCTAGTTGGTCAGGTAGGTTTTGGTTTTCATTTATACAGAATTGTACCCCACTAGCCCAACCCCCAAGCGATACGAAGCAAGGAGGCAAATGGAATTAAAACTATATTATAATAAGAATTACGATGATGATCATAAGATTAAAACTGGTCTTCAGTGTTTAAAATTTAATTTGCGGCTAGGGGTATCTGGGAGCAATGGTCGTATTTAACCTTTTACCTTGTCGTCCAAGGTCGTACGACTCTGGTTGTCGTCAAAACTGCTGGTTAAATTTTGTTTCTTCCGTGATACAGTACATATTTAATAAATATTTTGTCATAGGTAATTGATTATACTAAAACAAGTGACCTAGATGGTTAAGTACTCCCTCCCTCCCTCCTCCTCCTCCCAGCTACAGATTTTTACTTTGACCACTGATTGTAGTTGATTTTTCGTGGCCCTTGAAAATGCAACTGACAGATTTAGTGTGATTTGGATCTGCTCATCATCAAAGATTTTAGAATTCTCACTGTTGCCACCTGGTGTTGACAAATATAACTTTCAAATAAAATTTCAATCTGTAATGGATTTTAGTATTTTCTCCTGTAAAGATTATACTTTTCTTGTAGAACTTAAACGCGGCAATATTAGCACACCTTAAACTTCTCCGTTTCTTCTTTCACCGGTAGGGGGATCTGTTCGTATAAAATTTTGGGATAAATGTTTCCCATATTATGTTACACGTGCTTTATACATTTAATAAAAGCAATAAAAATATAAGAAAATGTCTGTAAAATAGTGCGATCTTCATAAGTTGGTAAGTGTCATCTTATTTCTCAGCCTCCCTTCGATGGGGAAGATGAAGAAGAGTTGTTTGCTTCCATCATTGACCAGAACGTCTCTTACCCAAAGTTTTTATCAAAAGAAGCCAAGGATGTCTGCAAAGGAGTAGGTTAATCAATTTGTGTGTGTGTGTGTGTGTGAAACGCCTTTAACCCGAGTGGATACTTGCGGATTTTTTCATTATTTTTTATTTTGTCCAGAGATATAAAGTTTAAAATAAAATAATGTTAAATTTGCACTGTAAAAAACAAAAGCCACCAATACCTGTTCCTTAGTTTCAAGGTGTTAAACCACTATTGTCTCCTATCAATCTTTCGGTTTTCTTTAATTTCTAGACCTTAAGCCTCTTCTTCTGATTCATCAGAGATCACTAATAATTCTTCGTTAATTTCAATATATTAAACCACTAGGTTAATATGTAGCAAAATATTATTTTACTTGTGGGTTTAACAAGCCTGTTTTGTAATTTAGTTTTTAACGAAAACTCCTTTCAAGAGATTGGGATGTGGGCCTACTGGAGAAGAAGACGTTCGTAATCATCCCTTCTTCAGGAGGATAGATTGGCAGAAGATTGAAGATCAAGAAGTTCAACCTCCATTTAAACCTAAGATTGTAAGTTCTTGATGATAAACAGGGGAGGTATAGCTTTATTTGAAACATTGAGGTACAAGCACTAAACAGGGGAGATATAGCTTTATTTGAAACATTGAGGTACAAGCACTAAACAGGGGAGATATAGCTTTATTTGAAACATTGAGTTACAAACACTAAACAGAGGAGGTACAGCTTTATTTGAAACAATGAGTTACAAACACACAAGGGAGGTAGAGCTTTATTTGAAACATTGAGTTACAAACACCAAAGGAAGGTAGAGCTTTATTTGAAACATTGAGTTAGAAACACACGAGGGAGGTATAGCTTTATTTGAAACATTGAGTTAGAAACACACGAGGGAGGTATAGCTTTATTTGAAACATTGAGGTACAAGCACTAAACAGTGGAGGTAGAGCTTTATTTGAAATATTGAGTTAGAAACACACGAGGGAGGTATAGCTTTATTTGAAACATTGAGTTAGAAACACACGAGGGAGGTATAGCTTTATTTGAAACATTGAGTTACAAACACACAAGGGAGGTAGAGCTTTATTTGAAACATTGAGTTACAAACACTAAACAGGGGAGATATAGCTTTATTTGAAACAATGAGTTACAAACACACAAGGGAGGTAGAGCTTTATCTGAAACATTGAGTTACAAACACTAAACAGATGAGGTAGAGCTTTATTTGAAACATTGATTTACAAACACTATACAGAGGAGGCATAGCTTTATTTGAAACAATGAGTTACAAACACACAAGGGAGGTAGAGCTTTATTTGAAACATTGAGTTACAAACACTAAACAGAGGAGGTATAGCTTTATTTGAAACAATGAGTTACAAACACTAAACAGGGGAGGTAGAGCTTTATTTGAAATATTGAGTTACAAACACACAAGGGAGGTAGAGCTTTATCTGAAACATTGAGTTACAAACACTAAACAGATGAGGTATAGCTTTATTTGAAATATTGAGTTACAAACACTAAACAAGGGAGGTAGAGCTTTATTTGAAACATTGAGTTACAAACACTAAACAGGGGAAGTATAGCTTTATTTGAAATACTGAGTTACAAACACACGAAAGTGAACAATTCTAATCTACAGTAAACCTAATAATCACATGTTTTAGGAATCTCCAAGTTATTGATGCTAAAAACCTAAATAAAAATCCGAAAGATCGTGTATTAAAAAATTAAGTATTCATTCTTTGATA